AATCAGAACTTAAACCTCAAAGCTTTCATCTTTCTTTATGAAATTCAACAGAAGTCCTTTTAAGAAGTGTTAATCCAGTTAAATATTTACCAAACCTTACTCTCAGCTGAAATGGGTGTAAAATCTCAAATTAGAAAGTCTCCTTTTTGGTTAACTCCCATCGGATTCGGCTGCAGTATTTCCCATTACTTGCATTTTAAGGAGAAGAGCATTAGCACAAAACTTCAGTATCAGTGTTGGAAATTGACAAACCGGTGAAAGGGAAAACATGACAGTCAAAGATAGAGCGGATTTCCTGTGTGTGCTAAAAAGAGAAAACCATTTCTTTGGCTATTACGGATACAATTAAAGTAAAGCTTTAAGATAATGTTTCTGTCAGAGGTTGAAGGGATGAATATCAAATCCCTATTATGAGGCAAATATACATATATCTTATCAATTTTTCTTTACACAACCTTATAACAAAAGAATATTATTCCTTATCAACCTAAAATTGTGCAGAGACCTAAAGAAGTGAATAGCCTGTGGTCACATAGCTGGTGAAATATAAAAATGGATTCAAGTCCCAGAGCCCAAGACCCTCAGCTAGCTCAGACTGTTCTTTTTTATTTATTCAACAAAAGTTTATGGAAGTATATCATTTTAAGTTTATTAGGAATCAGCTGGAGAAACAGTGGTGGATGAGACATTGTTCCTACCCGCTGTGAATTTATAGTCCTGGACGAGAGAGAAACAAATGTGCTAAGACGGCAGTAAGAGAAGTGAAAAAAGGAAGCAAAAGAGGGGCTACTAATTCAGATCTCCTCTCTCATAACAGGTCTCAAAGAGGGTTACATTTTCAAAGAAGCACGTAATACAGCATACAGGTTTACAAGTATACAAACTGTGAGCACATCGAGGTTTAATTTCACTACCAGGACCCCAGCGATCCAATCCCTAAGCAAACACCCAGGGCTGATCTCCAGAGATGTTTCTGAATCTTAACCAGTACCTCCACAGTTCCCAACCCAGTATGGATTTCAGCATGAGGATGAGAAGAAGAATGAGGATGAAGGTAACTGAATGACTCTAAACTATAGCTTAAAACAAAAAATCAACTCCCCTCTCAGAGATACTTGTTAACTTTCAATATCCCAGTTGAACTTTAAAGCACACTTCTGTTTCAGTTAAGGGAGAGTATAGATCCACACAACAAGGTCAAACATATTAGAGTTAGTTGCTTTATACCCTTTCCCACATCAGCACACCAGCCAGCAGCTAGACTAAGGGGGAGACAGCTATGCTGAAACTAGAGTGAGCTCAAAATTATAAAAGCTCACACATAGTTTTCACAGTCTATAGGTACTCTCTTTCCTTGTCACACTGACCCCACATACAGTCATTACATTCTCCCCACACTCACTCTCCTTTGTGCCATGTTCTTTTATCTGAGTTGGGACGCTGGGATGTTCAACTCTCTTTTGTTCATTCACCATCAAAACTTTAGTGGGCTTCCATTATGTGCCAGGCAACATACTGTGGGTTGGAAATACCAGAAAGAGAATGAAGGGTCCCACCTTCTCCCACATACATAGTAACCGTCTACTGCTTGGGTAACAGGCTGCTAAAGCAGTGGTAGCATAGAATGGTTAAAGTGGTTGAACTAGCCCGAGAATGGCAAATGAGCTAGGTGAGAAAAACAATTAGGAGCACTGGAGTCAGGCTGTCGACACTCAAATCTTGATTCCACTAGCTGTTTGACCTTGAGCAAGTCACTTATGTCCTCTGTGCCACAGTTTCTCCATCTTAAAAATAATGATAATAACAATTCCTAGCACATAATGTTGTGGCATGGTTGAAAAAGAGAGTACATATTGATTATCTAGAACAATTCCTGGCACATGATAGGCGCTCAAAAATATTGCTGTGTCTTTCTCACCAAGTGATTAGTACTTATGCTGGTTGGGGTTATTTGGATATAGATGTGATGTGAAGTTAGGAGTGCAAAAGGTGTGTTAGGGAGTAATACCTATAAAAGGAAATGGAGAGGAAGTGGGATTGGACAGAGGCAACTATCTGACAAGCCCGTCTAGGAGCTCTAGAGCAGGCTGCCCCTTAGAGGTGTCTCACAGTGGGCACAAATGGCTGGGCACTTATACCACAGCCCCGCTCAAGGACTGAAAGAGTACAGCCTCAGTTCAAAAGTTAAGACAGACCCCAAAGGACTGAAGAGCGGAAGGCCACTAACGAACCATACCGTCGGCATCCGGGCAGCAAGTCCTTTCCTGAAAGGAGACCTGGGCAGGCATTTCCATGTTGGCTGTAGCAGTCACTGTCTGGGGTGCTGGTTCAGAAGGATTTGGAGGAAGTGCTGGAATTCAGTGGGCTTAGGCAAGTGGAGACATCATGACTGCTTAAGACTTCAGCCACGGCTCTTGAGCAAGGAGGAGAGGCCCACCTGCCAGGAATCTGCCCTGCTTAAATAGATTGTCTCCAAAGGCTCCTCCACCTCTGACAAACTCAGTTCTTTATTCCTTCTTCAGCAGTTTCTTTTAGACCCCAAGGATGCCAAGAGGGCCCTGGCCCTAGGAGTCTGCTGCTCCCTAACACAGTGCTATATATACCCTCCTCTTCTAAGGGAGGGGAAAGCAGCCAACTGTCCAGAGGCTCGGGATTTCTAGAATCATACAGTACCAGTGGCTCAAGGCCCCACCCTTAGCTTTGGCTCTGTGTGTCCTTCTCAGAGCCTCTTCTAAGGCCCAGAGTTTCTCACTTGCATTCGGACTATCAATCTAGAAGAATGGCAGTCTGCTTAGAGCAACACCCTGAACTTATTCCAAAATGCATTTACAGAATCTTTAAAAACAATATAACTAGGCTACTTCTAATAAAGGCTTTATCTAAACTGCTGATGCACTTGTAAGGGAAACAAAATATACATAGAGTACAACTATGGGGAAAGTTTCTAGAAAAGGGGGACTTTGGATAAAAGTAAAATGCTATCAGGGAACAAAATCAGAGTTATCAGCTCAAACAGGTAATGGATCTTTTAGCACTTAAATATTTTCTTGTTGTTTTGCAACTGTGCTTTCAGTAGGAGGGAATCTGTGATTTAGTAATACAGCTCTTTTTTTTTTTTTTTTTTTTTTTTTTGGTACGCAGGCCTCTCACTGCTGTGGCCTCTCCCATTGTGGAGCAACAGGCTCCGGGCGCGCAGGCCCAGCGGCAGTGGCTCATGGGCCCAGCCGCTCCGCGGCATGTGGGATCTTCCTGGACCGGGGCACAAGCCCGCATCCCCTGCATCGGCAGGCGGACTCTCAACCACTGAGCCACCAGGGAAGCCCTACAGCTCATTTTTGCTGTCCGTTGTATTTCATTTATGGTTAAGCACAGTGAGGATCTGGGCTGCGGCAGGTGTGTGTTCAGCTGCACCTGGCAGAGAGCAGGAAAGCTGAACAGCTGATGGCAATACCTAGTTCCATCTCTCACCTGGTGGCAGCCACCTGCAGGGAGGTAAATCTCCTAGGAAGAAACTAAAAGTCTCAGTTGCAACTTTAAAGTCTTAAACTTCAGAACTCTGTGTGCACACGAAAACTAAAACAGGGCTTCCCTGGTCACTCTCTTTGCTGTGATCTTATTGCAACACACTGTGGCCGAAGTCATATTGCAGTATTGCCTATGATCCATGTATTTGTCTACTTGATAGACTGTAAGATCCCTAAGGGCAGGCACCAAGTATTACTCATCTTAACCTAGCACATAGGAAGCTAGCTGAATTGTAACTGATTTGCATTGAAGTCTTAGAAGGAAATTATGGAGGAAAATATTATTTGGAGAGATTAAAATTTAAAGATTCTTTACTAAAACAGATATCCTTTTAGTCACATTTTAAAATGAGCAAATTAGATGAGCCAATAATTCACCAAAGAAATGCAAGTAAACAAATACGAAAAAGTTCAGCATTACTAATAAAATACAAACAAGTTACAAGTTGCTGAGCCGCAAACTGCCAAATATGCCACACACACACACACACACACACACACACACGCACACATACACCCCTTCTTTTAGGATTTTCAATATAAATTGCCACCAGTGTAAGGTCCTTGTTACTATAACCTTATCAGTTTTTACATATGTATGCATGTGGGTGTGTATGTGTTGTGTGTCTCTCTCTCTATATATATACATATATATGTATGTATATATATATATATATATACACACACACACACACACATACACACATGCACATACACATATATATATATCTCCCCTGTTTGAGAACATTTGCCCTTTAATTTGCATTTAAAATCAGTTTCTTTAAATATTTTAGTTACAAGCTCTGAATAGTGAAGACACAGTAGATACTGCAAGCACCCCAGTATTGGTTCCCAACCCCAGGCCTTGCTTCTTCGTTCAAGGGACAAATGAGCACTCTGCACTAAATTGGAGCCCTAGTGTCAAGTGTCAGCAGCCTCAGGCCTGGATGCAGTTGGATATTCCAATGATTGTGCCCAGACCTAATGGACAGTACCTGACAGGTGACATCAGCCATTTCCCCACTGTGCACTAACAACTTGTGATTGGTTTCTGCCATAGGCCAACCTCCCCCAGACCTGTGTTCTGAGGAGGAAGAACCAAGGCCCTGCTCCCTAAGAGCTGTAACGCAGGAAGGAACAGAACTGCCTCTTTAGGCAACGTGCTTACACCAATGAAATTTAAAAGCTCAAGTCAAGCTGAGCCAGTCTCCAGGCCTCCCTCACCCCAATCCCTATATATATATATATATATATATATATATATAGTCAGGCCATTCAAGATGGCTGTTCTCTTGCTCACTGTACATCCCCTGCTCAATCAGTCCCTGCATCACTCACATGACTACCCAATCCTCTTAATTATAGGGCTTCATTAGGCCCTGATAAGTGATAAGCCCACCTGACGGCAATTCGCCCTATAAATAGTAGCCTCCTTCTCCCCTGGGGGAGCGAAGGCTGCTGTCATGTCTTGCTCACCTTCTGCTGTACACAGTGGAGATGCTGCTCCAGGACCTTGCTTTGGGCTGGTAAGATTCCATGTCCATTAAGCCACTGATGTCTCTGTCACTGTCTCGGGGCTCTTTCTTCGGTCTCGAGGCTGGGCGATCACAAGAAATGCAGGCCTGCGGGGTGTAGTCCAACATAATACATTTTTTTTTTTCCTATTCTCCTAATCCTACCTCTAGAAATCTGACCTTAGGAAAAAGAATCAGATACAGATGAATAATATTATGATATGCTGGCAGTATTGCTTGTAATAGTGAAAAAAATGGAAACAGCTTATCCAATTGTATGTAGGTTGTTAGATCAACCAAGTTCATCCAACAATTGAAAACAAACTTTATAAGGATATTTAATGACATGAATGAAAGCTAATGATAAAGTATTAAGCGGGAGACTGCAGGAAAAAACAATTATTTTAAAAAGAGGAGAGTAGTCAACCGGAAAAATGGTAAACAAAAGTCATGTAAGATAAAGTCTAAGAATTGAATAGCTTATTACTTTGGCAATTTAGGAGGCCAAATTTATCCTCAGCAAAAGTCTTTCTTTGTCTTTATCTTTAAAAAAGGCCAGTTGCTTTTCTGAGTGTCTAACCAGCTCCTGGGCTCTCTGAGAGCTAAAGGTAGAGGAAAGCACACGACATTGAAGTCGAATATGGGTTTAAGGTCTTGATTTCACCACACATTACCCTCATAGGTCTCATTACCTTGGAGACATTAATTAAACTTTAATCCTTAGTTTTTTCATCTGTCCAATGAGCATAATACTTGTAAAGAGTCTATCTAGCAGAGTAACTAGCAAATACTGATGATAATCTTTTCCATTTCTTGCATATTAAATATGTTTATAATTACCTGTCCCACTCAGCTTCTAACTGGACATTAACCAGGTGAAATTAATCCTTGACCATAGTTAATGGGACCAGGTTAACTGACCCTAGAGGAGGCCCATCCATAAACTAATCTGATTCAATCAAAACTTCTCACCTGAAACTCTGAATAGTAGAGGAAAGTTCCAGTAACTGGAAGGAAGTGGAGCTGAAGCATCAGAATACAGACTTGAAGCTGATGGCTACAGTCATATAGAGGATAAATAATATTGAAAGCTCATTAAGAGAGGAGTAGCAGACGTGAAAAGAAAGGAGTGAGGAGAGTGCTTATACATTCCTGTAACAAATTATCACAGGCTTCTCAGGCATGCCAGCCCAGGGTCAGGCTGGACATGGCTGGGGGCTTCTGCAGAGCTATTCTCCCCTGTGGGCCTAGTGGTCCCTTGAACTGGTGGAACCTCACCCTGGAGTCTGCCTGTCTCTCCCACAAAGCTTCAGCCCCCAGAAAAGCCACAGCCCCTTAGTTTGGCCCATGGATGCTAGCTGGGCTGTCTATGCCAACCCAGGCCCTCCAGCCAGGTACCACCCAGCCCTCCCGCTCCAAACAGCCCCTGGCCTTGGTGGCTTCCACCCGTGCCTCTACCCTCTGAGTTTTGCATGTTCCACTAACCCAGGCAGGCAGTGGGTAGAGGCGGGAGCTTCCAGTTGCATCTGTGAGGGCAGAACAGTAACTCCCCCCTGAGGCACCTACCCCCAATAAAAGCAATTCTAACCTTACAAAAATATTCTCAAGCTCAGTGACTTAAAGCAACACAAACTTATAATTCTGGCGGTCAGAAGGCTGAAATGGGTCTCACTGTGTTTAAATCAAGGTGTTGGCAGAACTGCATTTCTCCCAGAGGCTCTACAGGAAAAGCCAAAAATCCCTCGCCTTTTCTAGCTTCTTCAAGGCCCCTACTTTCCTTGATTTGTAGCCTCCTTCCAGCTACATCATCACTCCAACCTCTGCTTCCATCATTACATTTTCTCTCCTACTTCTGCTGTCACATGGCCTCCCCTCCTACGTCCTATTATGACCCTCAGACCTCCCTTTTGTAAGGACTCTAATGATTACACTGGACCCGTCCAGATAATCTCCCCATCTCAAGCTCTTTAATCACATCTCCAAAGTCCCTTTTGTCTACAACCTAATTCCCTTAGCCTGCCATATTACCTTGCATGACACCTGGGGAGCATCATTAGCCTACCATTGTGACCACGCAGCCTCAGACTATTTCCAGCCCTGACTCTGTAAGGTCGCTTATTGTAATCTCATGTGGCAGAAATAACGCCTTTTCCGAGGCACATAGGAAGTCTATGCTCCTCAACCCCTTTGCAGTTAGACTGGGGCCAAGTGAGAGGTTTAGGCTAATGGGATGTGTTCAGAAGGGAGATGGGCCCTTGCTTCTCAGGATGTGGTCTGCAGGACAGCAGCAACACCATCATCTTGGAGATTGTTAGGCTCCACCTGAGGCCTCTGAATCAGAATCCTCATTTCAGTGAGATCCCAGGTGATTCTGATGCACATGAAAGTTCAAGAAGCACTGATATAGGCCACTTCCAACCCTGGCACTTAAAAATACAAAATCCAATCCTCTAGCTATCTCTTCCTCTACTGCAGTGACCTCAGAGGCCAAGAGTTCCAGGTCACAAAGCTACAAAACAGAGGCCACCCAAAGCACACCATAACATAAGCAAAAGATAAACTTCTAAGTTAAGGCACCAAAATTTGGGGAATTGCCTATTGCGGCAACTACTTTTTTTTTTTTGGCTGTGTTGGGTCTTCTTTACTGCGCACAGGCTTTCTCTAGTTGTGGTGAGCAGGGGCTGCTCTTTGTTGCAGTGCGCAGGCTTCTCACTGTGGTGGCTTCTCTTGTTGTGGAGCATGGGCTCTAGGTGCACGGGTTTCAGTCGTTGTGGCACATGAGCTCAGTAGTTGTGGCTTGCAGGCTCTAGAGCTCAGGCTCAGTAGTTGTGGCGCATGGGCTTAGGTGCTCTGCGGCACGTGGGATCTTCCCAGACGAGGGATCAAACCCGTGTCCCCTGCATTGGCAGGCAGATTCTTAACCACGGCACCACCAGGGAAGCCCGCAGCAACTACTTTTAATTATCCTGGTTTTCAGGAAGATATTTCTTTGAGCTAGCTTGGGTAGATTTGTTTCTTGCAATCAAAACTTTGCCCATGGGCTTCCCTGGTGGCGCAGTGGTTGAGAGTCCGCCTGCCGATGCAGGGGACACGGGTTCGTGCCCCGGTCCGGGAAGATCCCACATGCCACGGAGCGTCTGGGCCCGTGAGCCATGGCCCCTGAGCCTGTGCGTCCGGAGCCTGTGCTCCACAACGGGAGAGGCCACAACAGTGAGAGGCCCGCGTACCGCAAAAAAAAAAAAATCTTTGCCCACAACAGCAGTCCTCAAACAAGTGAGCATCAGAATTACCTGAAGAGCTGCTTAAAACAAATTGCCGGGCCCCACCCCCTAGAGTTTCTGATTTACTAGGTCAAGGGTGAGGCACAATAACTTGCATTTCTAACAAGTTCCCCAATGATGCTGATGTTGCTGGCCCTGAGGCCACATTTTGAGAGCCACTGGCTTACAATTTCACTGTTAGAAGCTTTCCATCACTATATAATTCAATTCTGACAGTACAGACCAGGAGTCTGCAAACTATTGCCCATGGGCCAAATCTGACCCACTGGCAGTTTTCACGAATAAAGTTTATTGGAACTTTGGAACATAGCCATATCTATTTATCATCTATGCCTGCTTCCTCACTACAAAGGCAGAGTTGAATCACTGCAATAGAGACCATATGGCCTGCTGCTATGTACCAAGTGTGGATTAGCTGAGGGCTAATCCACTAAATTGGTTGGGTGGTACTTATAATAGTCTCTATACAAATTCACACGTTGATCTAATCACCAAAGTGATGGTATTAGAAGGTGGGGCCTTTGGGAGATGCAAGTCATGAGGGTAGGGCCCTCATGAATGGGATCAGTGCCCTTATAAAAGAGACCCCATAGAGCTCCCTTACCCCTTCTGCCATATGAGAACACAGCGAGAAGATGGCTGTCTATGAGCCAGAGAGCAGGTTTTCACCAGATACCAAATCTGCTGATGCCTCGGTCTTGGACTTCTGGCCTCCCAAACTGAGAAATATCTGTTGTTTATAAGCTACTCAATCTGTCATATTTTAATATAGCAGCCCAAATGGACTGACACCCACAAAACCTAAAATATTGACTGCCTGGCCCTTTACAGAAATGACTGCTGATCTCTGATATAGACTACAGTGGAATTGTTTTCCTTATATTATCCTGAGACTACAGAACATTGATTTACTTGAGTATATTCGTTGATCATTCTCTACTTCTACTATGCCATTTTCACTTTGACAACAACCACAAGAAAATTATTTGAAAACTGGTATTTACTATTACTATTATGTCCCTAGTAAGAGCATTTGTTATCAAGTACAAGTCTCCCCAACATGGAACTGGAAAGATTCTTGGGAAGCAACAGGATTTTCAAAGTGCTTGTAAAAGTTGGCAAAGTCTGGGTTGTTTTAGTATATCTAGAAGAGTGCTGAGGCAGAAGGGGTGTTGCACAAATGAAAACCAGGCATGTTTCAATGTTATAAACACCCTCTTGATTACCTCGCAACCTATCTGCTGGAGTTACAAATCAAAATGGGCCTCTATGTCTTTCATCACTCTAGGGTCAACCTAGTTTATTAAAATTAAACTGCCTGTTATCCTCCAGAATGGTACATAAGCCTATAATATATGCTCTTTCCACCCACTTCAAAAGCCCTATGACCCATTTTTTTAAAAAAAAATCCTTAAATGTGCCAACCCACACACACACAAAAGCACTGTCTTTTTTTGTAACTATTCTTTCAGGCTTATGCCTTTTAAAATAGTGGTGTCTGCAGAAATGTCACATCAAAAGAAACTGCCCGAGGTAGAAGTACTTAACTGAAACTGCTTTTATTAGGATATTGGAAGAAATCTGGCCTAAGAATGGAAAAAGGACTGATACTGAATAAAAACACCATGGTGCCAAAGGGAGATGGGGGTTTTTTTGCTATTGAAAAAAATCCCACCTCATATTTTAAAATCTAAATAAGAAGATTCTCTACTGACTGTAGCCAGTTTCTTTTTTGTTTTTTTTTAAAAAAAAACCTTTCAGAGCCTCCCCAGAATTCTGATCCCTAAATTGAACTTAGGGATCAAAATGGAACTTAGGGCTAATGGA